TTCAGTTACCCGATCCCACTGTTCAGCAATAATATCTTTTTTCTTCTACGGATATAGTTTTGGAATGATATGGATTCATCAGAAAAGCGGAAACAATACACACTATATCCAAAACTTGTCAACTTTATCGTACTTAAAATTCCAAGCAGGATCCACCATTTAAAAAAAATACAATCCGAGTAAGCACTGAATCACTGTTTTCCCCTCGCATCATAACATGTATCGCAAGAAAACTCTTTCAGAATTTCAATACGTTCCTCTGTTTCTACTTACCCGGAATTCTTAATGAAGTCATCTATCTGGTCATTAATTTTGTAGGATTTTATGGACAATTTTAGGCTATTTCCGGTGAAAAAATATTTCGGGTTCTAGGTTATATATAATGGATTATATCCTATAAAGATTAAACAGATCAATAAGTTTGCTGTAAAAATCTCGCACATTTCCGAAAAAAAAAAAAGTTATTGCTGGCTCTTAGAGGCTTTATTTTTTTTATATAATCTATACCTGTTATTGTTTGTTTTTTAATTAAACACAAAGCTATACAATGGGCTATCTGTGCTCTGCCCACCACGGGTATCGAAACCCGGATTCTAGCGTTGTAGGTCCGCAGACATACCGCTGATACCTGTTATTGTATCTAGGGGAAACAATCTGAGCATATGGGATGTATATCTGTTGTTGTTGTTTTATCTTCATAAAAATGAAATATAAAGAACTTTGTTTATCTGGTGTAGAAGTTTTGGGCAAAACTATATACACAAAGGTTATCATAGCCGGCCCTAATTTTAAAGTGATAAACTAGAGAAAAGTCAATCGTTCCCACCACTAACTCTTGGGCTACTCTAGTCTGACCTATTAATGGGAATGGAACCATGGTCTCCAAGTGCGGTGCAGGTTTTTGTGGCAAGGGGACGCAGACCTTTAATCCCTGGATTCACAGTTTTGGTACGCTAATCACTAGGTCTATTCCCTGCTCGTAAAAAATTAGGATAAAAACGATTGAAGTTCATTAAATTAAAACTGTGACCAGTGTGTTTAGAAGTGTGTCTACAATTAAAACTGTGACTAGTGTGTTTAGAAGTGTGTCTACAATTAAAACTGTGACCAGTGTGTTTAGAAGTGTGTCTACAATTAAAAGTGTGATCAGTGTGTTTAGAAGTGTGTCTATAATTAAAACTGTGACCAGTGTGTTTAGAAGTGTGTCTATAATTAAAACTGTGACCAGTGTGTTTAGAAGTGTATGTCTACAATTAAAACTGTGACCAGTGTGTTTAGAAGTGTGTCTACAATTAAAACTGTGATCAGTGTGTTTAGAAGTGTATGTCTACAATTAAAACTGTAACTAGTGTGTTTAGAAGTGTGTCTAGAATTAAAACTGTGACCAGTGTGTTTAGAAGTGTATGTCTACAATTAAAACTGTAACTAGTGTGTTTAGAAGTGTGTCTAGAATTAAAACTGTGACCAGTGTGTTTAGAAGTGTATCTACAATTAAAACTCTGACCAGTGTGTTTAGAAGTGTGTTTACAATTAAAACTCTGACCAGTGTGTTTAGAAGTGTGTCTACAATTAAAACTGTGACCAGTGTGTTTAAAAGTGTGTCTACAATTAAAACTCTGACCAGTGTGTTTAGAAGTGTGTTTACAATTAAAACTGTGACCAGTGTGTTTAGAAGTGTGTCTATAATTAAAACTGTGACCAGTGTGTTTAGAAGTGTGTCTACAATTAAAACTGTAACTAGTGTGTTTAGAAGTGTGTCTACAATTAAAACTGTGACCAGTGTGTTTAGAAGTGTGTCTATAATTAAAACTGTGACCAGTGTGTTTAGAAGTGTATCTACAATTACAACTGTGACCAGTGTGTTTACAATTAAAACTGTGACCAGCGTGTTTAAAAGTGTGTCCACAATTAAAACTGTGACCAGTGTGTTTAGAAGTGTGTCTATAATTAAAACTGTGGCCAGTGTGTTTAGAAGTGTATCTACAATTACAACTGTGACCAGTGTGTTTAGAAGTGTATCTACAATTACAACTGTGACCAGTGTGTTTAGAAGTGTATCTACAATTACAACTGTGACAGTGTGTTTAGAATTGTATCTACAATTACAACTGTGACCAGTGTGTTTGGAAGTGTGTCTACAATTACAACTGTGACCAGTGTGTTTGGAAGTGTGTCTACAATTACAACTGTAACCAGTGTGTTTAGAAGTGTGTCTACAATGAAAACTGTGACCAGTGTGTTTAGAAGTGTGTCTACAATTAAAACTGTGACCAGTGTGTTTAGAAGTGTGTCCACAATTGAAACTGTGACCAGTGTGTTTAGAAGTGTGTCTACAATTAAAACTGTTACCAGTGTGTTTAGAAGTGTATCTACAATTAAAACTGTGACCAGTGTGTTTAGAAATGTGTCTACAATTAAAACTGTGACCAGTGTGTTTAGAAGTGTGTCCACAAATAAAACTGTGACCAGTGTGTTTAGAAGTGTGTCTACAATTAAAACTGTTACCAGTATGTTTAGAAGTGTATCTACAATTAAAACTGTGACCAGTGTGTTAAGAAGTGTGTCTATAATTGAAACTGTGACCAGTGTGTTTGGAAGTGTATCTACAATTACAACTGTGACCAGTGTGTTTAGAAGTGTATCTACAATTACAACTAGGACCAGTGTGTTTGGAAGTGTCTTCCAGAGTCAGTTTTTGGTAAGTATATTTGTAATGAAATGTGACGAAAACCAGTTTTCTGATTGACGTTAAATAACTATTCATGCCACAACTTTAATACTTAGCATCACAAACAATTAATTAGTATTAGTGCTGCACAATCTATTTATAATTAGTTGTTAAACTTGTTCATTGAAACTGCTAAATACACGTGTTTTCATTAATTCACTATAATAGTGGAATATTGAAGAATATGCTGTCTTCATCTGATGTTATAACTACGTTTTGTCACTTTATGCTAGAAAATGTTAATAGTTCTTTTTAGCAAAATTTTATTCTGTATTTTCCAAGTAATTTCATTAATAATGCTTAACGCCTTTCTACATTTATTGGTCATATCTGGTGTATAGAGATAGAATACAGAGGTAGAGATTTAAATGTTTTACTTTGCACGATTTGAAGTCTGAAGAAGACAAGCCAAATACATTATGTCATCACGATTTTACTTCCTGTCAATTTTACTGATCAGTGTAATTTTCATAAAGTACTACAAAAAGCACTTTTTACCAAGTGTTGCTCAGGGGTGCTTTAACAAACACTTCTTACCAAGTGTTGCTTGGGGGTACTTCAACAAACACCTCTTACTGAGTGTTGATATGGAGTGCTGTAACAAACACTTCTTACTAAGTGTTGCTCGGGGGTATTTTAACAAATACTTCTTACTGAGTGTTGATAAGGGGTGCTGTAACAAAAACTTCTAACTGAGTGTCGATAAAGGGTGCTTTAATAAACAATTCTTACTGATTGTTGATAAGGGTGCTGTAACAAACACTTCTTATTGAGTGTTGATAAGGGGTGCTGTAACAAACACTTCTTATTGAGTGTCGATAAAGGGTGCTTTAATAAACAGTTCTTACTGAGTGTTGATAAGGGGTGCTTTTACAAACACTTCTTACTGAGTGTTGATAAGGGGTGCTTTATTAAACAGTTCTTACTGAGTGTTGATAAGGGGTGCTTTAATATACACTTCATACTGAGTGTTGATAAGGGGTGCTGTAACAAACACTCTTCTTACCGAATGTTACTCGGGAGTGCCTTACTTAAAGTTTTTTAACATTATATTAACAAAATTATGGGTTTGAATTTAAAGTAAATTATTTTATATCCGATCATTTGTTTATATATTTTTGTATATTTCACCTTCAAACATCGAAAAATAGTATATTTATTTCTGTTACAAAAAAGTCAACAAACAAACAAAACTAACAAGTCTTGTTGAAATTCAGAAACAAAGTAATATATATATATATATATAAATTTGAATGTTATATATATATATATATATAACATTCAAATTT